AGTGGAACTCGGGATGATAGCTGCCGCGGCAGCCGTAGTACCAGCAGCCGACCCAACCAGCTGCGGACTTGAATGACGGGCGGAAGGCAGTCGCATTGCTCGGACTTGCCCCGGCTTCCGCACTGTGGGGGGCGTCCTGGCCTGAGACATTCGGGGGCAGCAACGCAGGCGCAGCCTCCAGAACTTGATGGAATTCTGATTTCGTGGCGAGCGAGGCGTTTGCCCTGCCAGTCTCATTCGCCCTAGGGGCGACTTTCAAGCCACCTGAGCCTTCCTGAGACGAACTGCGATTCGGACTCAACGCACTGTGGTTGCCATGCCGCAGATTGCGGTGCACCTGAGTGTTCAAGTCGCCCATCACAGTCTGGCTCAGGACCAGGCACAGCCATGTTGATAAAGCCAACGCAGACCAGCGAGACATTGCTTCGTGGGTACTCCCTGCAAAGCCCGACGCAGTGTCCGATCTTCAGCCGAAATGGCTACGGCACCGATCCTATCATGTGTAGAGTTTATAGGTCGGGAGGACGGCAAATGTGCGAGTCAAACTGCGTGATGGTAATGGCTACAGCTGTGTTTCTAGCCTTTGGAACTTGACTTTTGCGATGGTCCCTGTGTGTGTGTGTGTGAGTGTGTGAAGCTTGCCGTCTCAGGCAGGAGCACGGCCAAGCTGCTTCGCTTCATCAGCGTCTTCATGGCGTTAGAATTCTGACAAGACGTACATGCGGGGCTTGCTGCAAGGATATCACAGGAGGTGTGGTCAGGCCCGTTATAGCCTATAAAGCTTGTGTAGGCCAGCAGCTGCTGAGCCAAAATCTGTATCTAGGCCGGTGCACTGTGGGAGGGCATGCTGACGACATAGCCGATGACTGGCAACATGTTGGCATGCGGCACGAACTCGTCTACAAACAACGGCTGCGGGCCGTCGGTGTCGTGCAGAGATCCCCAAGGAAGCGAGCAACCATCGTGCTGTCAGCTGTCAGAATCTTGCTTCTCTCTAACTCTAAAGACTCTGAAGAATCAAAGGTCTGGGGCACTTGCTTGAGCGCATAGTCTTGACAGGCCCGGGCTAGGGAGATTCGAAGATTCTCGCCTGAGCTTTGTGTGAGGGGCCGGCACCTTTCCCCGACGTGTTTGAAGAACCCCCCCTCCCCGCTTCAGCAACGCAGGAGCGACTGTTGTCGCTATCCACTCGCAAAAATGGCGAAGAACTGCGCCGGCTCATGACTGCAAGCTCTACAGGTCTATACACGTCCTAAATCTTGATCGTCTCTGAGGCAATGGCAAAGGCGATTTGCAATCGCAGCCGCTAGCTGATTGTTGGCCTCGTCGGGCTTCAGAAGAGACCCAAGCTTCCCCATCAAGAGTCCAACTTTGCCTCCCCTGCAACCCAACCTTTCAAAACTCGCAGACTACCGAAAACAATCCTCGACCTTGAGGTATCCTTGTAGTAACCTAGTAGTCGCCTTTACCAAGAATACGTCTTGGCCCGCAACTCCTGAGGTCAGCGGTAGCTCAGAGTTTGAAAACGGCCAAGTCGAAGCGCTCCGAACGCTGCAAACCCGTGTTTATAGCCCTAATCCATGTAGTAACCTTATGCTAACCTTATCGTAACCCGCAAGCCGGACAAACGAGTCTCCCAGACGGAAATTCCCTCGCCCCTAAACAAAAACACCGAAATCCTCATATGGCGAAGACAAGCTCAGCCACGCACCAGCTGCCTGGGTGTGTGGGGCGAAAGCAAGCCACCAGGCCTCGCTCTTTGTAACTAGCAGTGGCAGCACCAGGCACCAGCAATAGTAATGGTGGCGGTGGCGGGCGGTGGCGCGGAGTTCGCAGCAGTAGTAGTAGTCGTAGTAGT